AAAAATGGGGTGTCTACAGCTAGTTTTCTTCTTTCTTTTAGAGAGCAGTTAGCAAACATTTATATAATTATTTTGGTGTAAATAACTTAAATAATTTATTAACATGATATTTTTTGGTGTTGACGGTACATTATTTGGTTCTATAACCTAATTAATGGCTAAATATTGGAAGTAAACGCAATGTGTGTAACTTTACCATTAAGGAGGAAAGGAGGTTACACAAAATATTGACAAAAAATAGCTTGAATTACTAATGAAAAGCTTTTATTTTCATGAAGGAGGTTACACAAAATACATGCCCTGTTTTACCATTTCCCAAAAAGCTTTCCATGAAGTTACAATGGAAAATACTAATGACTAATAAAAAATTTGGTGATAAAAAACATTTAATTTTTATCACCTTGAGTATAGAGCACAGAGCCATGAGCACAGAGCCAACTAATAAAAAACATAGCATACAGAGATTTTGGTGATAAAAAACAGAGGATACAAAGCTTTGCAACTACTCTTTAATTTTTATTTTTAGATTGATGATTACTCTTTAATGTAGTCAGCTTGTTCTTCTTCTTCAATTTTACTCAATAGTCATGCCTACCAAATGTTACCAAAGCAAAACAGAGAGAGAAGAGGAGAGAAAAAAGCAAAAACAAAAAAATTACTGTAATGAATAGCCGAGCAGCCGAAGTGATGAATAGCCGAGCAGCCGGAGTGAACAACGGTGAGAGTGGTCAGAGTGATCCACAGTCGAAGTAAGCTCTGATGAAGGTAAAAGCTGAGAGAGGGAAAAAAAATTCAAGAAGAAGAACATACTGAATTAATTAAGATAAAAGTGAGAGAATACTAAAGGATAGTCAATTACCCGAATCAATTCTCTTGAACCCAGCAATTAAAGTCATGTTTTCAGCACTAAATAATAATACTGAATTGGTTCAATTTCAATATAAAATAATAATACTAAATTTTTCCAACTCTATTAAACCCAGCAGTTAAAAATCTATCAAAACATGACTTTTCCATATATACTTGATGATGGTATACTTGATATACTCAGATGAGTCAACATGAGAAGAAGCAGCAGCAGAAAAAGAAATTGACAATATCAAAAAACAGTAAATTTATGTTTCTATACTGAACACAAAACTAATTAGGCAAATAGAAATGAAGTCGATTACTTGGTTCCATGTGCAGTATTACTGATGTGTCCAGAAAATTGAGGTCTTCAGTTATGCAACCACCCTCCAATCCAAATTACCAGCTTCAAATAATTAAAAAGAGTTTCAAATTTAATGTTATCCCGTCACCTTTCTAATACAGATTTCACTTAGATATGCTACCCCTAGTTGGACTTAAACAAATGCAAATCAAATGGTGGAATCTTAAAACTAATTCTAGGGTCAAAAAGATTTAGACGTCAGCCAAAACTCTGCTGTTTATTTGCATGTGCATCATTTCCTATGGAGTACACATCAATAAATCAAACAAATATTTTACTTAGATAAATTGATAGCAGAGTTGATCAGTCTTGTTAGGCTTACATATCATGAAATGATGAATGTGAAGTATATGCCTAACAAAGAGCCAAATTTCAATTTCAGCTACTCAGCCCTTCCTATTCGTGCTTTCAATTGAGGCGTGGAAAACAAATGGTTTTCATTGATATGTTCTACTACCGGGAAAAAATAATTTCACTGATGGCCATGTAAAACTTCCCATAATCTCCTAACGTTCTTCATTCTTAATATCACGGGAATAAGAGCATCTTCAATTGTGTGCACAACCTCATACCAAAGCCAAAATTTGGGATTTAAGCATAGGAGAAGAACCACTCCAATGGTGTGCCAAAATTTGGCGTTGCAATATATATTTGGGCACCAAGTCTAGCAAAATGCCAAATTTTAGCAAATTTGATCATTTTACATTTTGCCTAAAATTTACAAAGATGTTATTTTTCCAATTTTAGAATTTACATGTAGACACGGATAAACACATTGTATAGTATAGATTGAATCATATGGTGGTTAAAAAAAAATTGGAGATGCCACACTTGTGTGTAGATATCATATACATGTGTGTGTGTCACTTCATCAAGATATTATGATTTGGGAATTAGATGGAAAAAACTGAAATTCATTCAGAAGCTAGAAAATATGTAAATATTGAAGTCAAACCCAACATGAGTCAAACCCAACACAGTAAAATAAACCCAAAAACAACATACATCACACCAACAATAAATCTGTAGGAGTTTTCCAATGTGGGTAAACCCAAAAACACACCCAAAAGATTGAAACAGAGCAAGGAATAAAAATACTTTTCCATGTCAAAAAATCAAACTTTGAATATATATATCATTCAAAATATAAGGAAAATTAACGGTCAAGATAAATATATATATATATATATATATCTAGTTTGCATATCAATATATATATATATATATATCATTCAAAATATATATCAATATATATATATATCAATCCAAACCCAACACAATAAAATAATTTGCACACACAACATACCTCACACCAACAATAAATCTACAGGACTTTTCCAATGTGGGTAAACCCAAAACCACACCCAGAAGATTGAAACAGAGTAAGAAATTCAGCAAACAATAGGCTATTTAGGGGATGAAAGTGATTGATAGAGGGTATGGGGAGAGTCAGTGAAGAGTAGGAATGTTTAGGCGAAAGAGATCAAATGATGAGAAGGGTAGATATAGGGTATGGAGAGACAGACGGTAGACAGAGAGGGAAGGCAGAGAAATGAGATGCAAAAGTTGAGATAGGGAGAGGGAGATAGAGAGGGAATGTAGATAGAGGGTATGAGGAGACAGATGGTAGACATAGGGTATGGGGAGACAGAGGGTAGACATAGGGTATGGGGAGACAGAGGGTAGATACTGATACTGAGGGAGAAAAGTGGGAAGACAGAGACAGCTCATTTGGGCGGGAACATCATTAATTCTCAACCATGAATATTTATTAGAATTCATCTGAGCCATCCAAATGAATTATGTCTCTCATATATTTTATACTTTTTCAAAAACCCTTCTCCCTTATTATATAGATTAATAAAAGAGTATGAACACGTAGCGTTTTAAGATAATTGAACAATTTTTTTTCACATTTACTCTAATTATAGACCCCACAATAAACCAATTCAATCATAACCACACACATTTCATTTCTTTGTTATTTTCTTGGTCTCAAAGTAGATTTTTTCACCATCGAAAGCTAGTGCCCAATGGTGAAGGCATTTGCCTTCCCTAACAAAGAGTCAAGTTTGATTTTAAGAAGTGCAAAATGTTGGGTTATTGGTTTTTAGTGGAGATATCACGTTGTACTCCAATCGAAATTTAGTCTTGATGACACGAAATTTCCTTTTTTAAAGAGATCTCACGTTGTACTTTGATCAAAATTTAGTCCTAATAACACCATGGAACCCCCTTTTTCAGTTAACGGGAAGAAAAAAAGAAAAGATTTTTTTCTTTATTTAATGGTTGACCTACCATGTTGGATTTATGACAAATTATCAGCCAATAGTAATTTTTAATAATTATTAATATTAATAATCATTATTATTTATTTGTAATTATAATTTTTTTTAATAGTCATGAATATGTTATTTTTCCCTAAATTTAAGGGTAAATCTTTTACTCAAGTATAGATTATTCTTGTTTTGATTTGTAAATAAAAAAATTATCTCACTTTATACATTATGGGAACAGCTTGCCTCCAGTCTTTAATCAAACTGGTCAGTCCTGTTCGGCCCGTGGGGGGCCACCACAGGTCATGTTTTGATAGTTTGAACCGTTCAATATGTAGAACTCGTCAAATATTATATGTCTGTAAAAAAATTACGTTGATCGGATATCGATAGCCATGTGATCAAATCAGTTTTGTATATATAAAAAAAATAGACGGTGAACAAATTAACGGTTGAAAAAAAACTGATAAGATGAGATAGCTATCGATATCCGATCAACGTGATTTTTTACAAACATATAGTACTCAACGAGTTCTATACATTGAGTTCGGATTATCAAAACGAGACCCGTGGTAGGCCCCCACAGTTTAAATAGCACTATCCAATCCGATTAAGGACTGGAGGCAAGCTATACTCCCTAAATTATTTATCATTTTCCATTTTAATCCAATTATTAAATTCCATACAGAGAAGTTTTGGAATTTTAAAATTTCACTTTTCCACCTTAATTCCTAAAAATTTACGTTCTCTAATTTTTCACTTTCCTACATTCTCCAATTTACTTCCGTGTTTGGTGAATATTTTCTTATACCTAACCCGTTTGGTGAACTTCGCAGCTTATAATTTTAATAATATAACTTTATAATTTTTTTTGATAAACGATTCATAACGATCGGTGTCATTTTTAGTGAAATTGTAGAATAAATAGGGAGATAAAAAGTGTGATATAAAGAAAATATAAAAATTAAAAATTAAAAAAAAAACTTAAACATAATTCTATATCATTAAAAATGATAAAAATATATAATAAAGAAAATGAGATTTTTTTTTAATAATTCACATAATCAAATTGAGATTGGAGAACGATTATCCTTCTCATATATATGCTCGGACGATATTGGATCTTTTATTATGACCCCAAATCTGACCCCACCAGAATTTTCCATATCCATTTTATTAGAGTCAGAGAGGAGCCAGAGACTTATTGAGTCGGAAAATTTTACTATCACTAAACATATCTTGTTTATGACCTAAACAATTACTCAGGTGATCATAGAGAAAATATTTTTAGGTATGGTGAAAGAAATTTCAAGTTCAAATATATAGAGAAATTAGTCTACATTGTAATTCAATTATTAAAAAAAAGGTCCCGTTTTTTTTTTTTTAAAAAAAAACAATTATTTAAGTTGTTCTCCAATTAGATTAAATTAAATACAATCTTCCATTTTATTTATTTATTTTTTTTTTTTTGTTGTTGTTGTTGGGTGAATAAGTCTTCTTTTTTCTTTTTTTGGTTACTCATAAAAAAACCAACCGCTTGGTTAAAGCAAAGCAAGCACGGGCTACTCATCAGAAATCGACTTTCATTTGCTGCACAGCGCACACACTGACGCTGAAGAAGAAGAAGAAGAAGAAGGATGAGTTATGTACAGCAAGCCAGAGAAAATCACGTAAAAAAGAAAGTTGAAGAAGGTACGAACCCCCCAAAGCCAAATCCCTAAATTCACCACAACTTAGTTACGCATATAGAGCTATGATTGTTCTCTGTTGCCCTACCTTATTTGGTATTCTTCACGCAGATTGAAGTTATCACAATGTTCCATTAGCTTCTAAGGAATTCCCATTTTAAATGTTCTTTTAAGAGGGTTTTAGTCCTAGGGTTTTGCAGCATTAACACCTAACCATCTGTTCAAACGATGTTATTATTTTTATTTACTTTTTGATACTGTTTATAATTTGCCAATCGATATGTCTGAATGTAAGAGAAGATAAGAACAGAATGAGAGAAAATGGTCATTGTTTAGTTGGTTTTATATGATTTTCACAACCCTTTTAGCATTGAATTGCATGTTCTTTTATGTACAAGAGGGTGCTGTAGGATTCATTAGTTTCCTAGTAGTATGTTGTATGGGTTTAATGTTCATTCAAATAGTAAGTATTGAAGAAGGGAATTACATTTTTGAGTGGAGGCTTTTTTTCTTTTTGCTTTGTTCATTCTTTAAAATTTTGATGGAAGATGTGAGAAAGTTGATTAATTGTGTGGCTGCATTGTTAATCATGGAAAATAAATAAATAAAGGGGAATAATTTCAAATTGAAACATTTATGTGTATACACGATAGCTCTGTACCAGAAAAGTTGCTTTCTTTGTAAAGCTTGCAAACCTAGGTGATCTGTATTTGAGGAAGTAGGTAATTGATATGTGTTGTGTAAATGAAACTTCAATGATATGGATCATCTTCTGTTTTGATGGTGCATTTCCCTATTTTATTATGCTTGTGGTTTTCTTGATTGGTCATTGCAACTGTTTGCTGTGTGCAGAAATCATTAGCCTTGTTGGTTGTTAATTTTCTAGGGCTCAAGGGTCTACAAGTTGTTTTTTGCGGCGTATTTCTCACAGTTCTCTTGGTTTTGAAAATAGATTGTTGCATCTTTGATGGGTTGGAGAGTCCAGTAATTTTGTATTTGTTACGTAATCTACTTTTGTAGTTTAGCTTTCTTGGGAGTTCACTGTCTTTCCTTATTTCGTCTCCTATGCTTAGGTTTTACTGATGTGTATTTAGCATTTTTATGCCTTGGTTTGAGAAACTTTTTTTTAATATTTTATTTATTTATTTTCTAACGAGTAAAACAAATTTGAGATAAATTTGAAATATCAATTTTCTCTATCTGTTTATATCACGCAGAGAAATACAATACTAATATCTACATATCAAACTTACAGCTTTACGCAGCAAAATGAAGCAGAAGGCTTTAAAGCAATGTGATCAATACACTGCAAAATATGCTGAATGTGCTGCAGGAAGGACCTTATCAGTTGTTTGGCAATGTCGTAAGCAAGCTAAAGAACTAAATAAATGTCTTCACCAGTAGTAAGTTTATCTGTGAATTTCTATCAGACGCCTATTTAATTTCATTTATTTGTTTCATAGATTAGTTTGTTTTCCGTCGTGAATTGGCTTCTGATTTTGGTGAATGTTTGTATGATGCTGTAAAACAAGAGTAGAAGTATAGAGCATATTATTCTGCTAACCGTAGGAGTAAACTGAAAACAATTGTTGCTTCATATTTTCTGGTTAATGTAGCAACACATCAATTCTCCTTCCAATTGGTCTGGGGGATTGTTGTGGAATAAGTTGGGGGAACCGGGCAAGTACTAGTAATTTCCCTTCTTAAAAAATAAGAAATTAGAAACAAGTACATAAATAATAATTTTAGAAATCGCTTTGTGACTTTCTCTAGACTCTCATTATATTTCCTGTAAGAGCAGTAGTTTAGTTCCCCCGAGATTACATATATATTGAAGGCAGCTCCATGAGGCAAATGGAGGTTCACTTCATCTCTTGCTTGTAGACATAGTTGTCAAATCGGGATTCGTATTGTGAATCGAAATGGCCTCGTACCGAATCGCGAATCAAATCGAATCGTGAATCGTAAAGATTCGGTCACTTTTTTTAAATTACTTAAAACATATATCTACACATTTAGATGTTAAATATATATTATGAATATGAAATAATTAGACTTAAATTAATGAAAATGTTATTTTGAATGATAATCACGTAGTTTAATAGTTAACAAAGGTTTCTATGTAAGATCACCATTTTACCTTTTTTCTTTTTTAGATATTTCTTATCAACCATTCTTAATAAAGATAATAACCAAATAGACAAACTATCAATTTCCAAAGTAACAATAATTAACAATGATATTAGTTTTTGGATAATAAGCATACATATTTTTCTAAGAAATAATGAGCAAATAATAAGAAATAATTATTTAGAATCTTTATGTTAAAGCCTGAAACATTTTAAAAGGTATAGTTGACCTCACACATGTAATATTCAACTATATTCAATTTAATAAAGTAGCAATAGATAATTGATAGTATAACTTTAATCTTAAACATCTTTAGAATATATATTATGTTTTTTAGAGGAAAAAAATGAGAAGAAAGATTAAAAATATGTTGAATCTGACTGAATCTGATTGGATCTTATTAAAAACTCTATAATCACTAAAATAACAATAAATAATGTATATATATTGGTTATCTTGGTATTAAATGCTATTAGAATTTATATTATGTCATTTTCACCGAAAAAATGGAGTAAAAAAATGTTGAAAATATGCCGGACACAATAATTTCAAAAATTAGATGAATCATAAAAAGTAAATTGAATCGTAAATCGATTGTGAATCGTCCGACTCATTAGAGATTCACTTCCAAAATAAATTCATCAATAGATTCGTATCAATTCTGCAAAAATCGTGAATCGAATCGCGAATCGTAAGATTCTGATAACAGAGGTTGTAGACCACACTATAATTTAATTATTACATGGGCCGACATTTATGCCAATGTTTAGCTAAAAAGTTTGTACCATTAACTAGTTAATCACTCTTTTTATGAGCTTTTCTTTTTGATAAGTAAAATTTATTTTAAAAGGACCAAACGCATGGTTTCATCCATGTATGTACACTCAATATATAAATCCAAACAAAAACCCTATATATCTACAAGACCATACAATTCTCTAAAAAAGTCTGCAAAGATGCAAGAGATGAAGGAAAAGATTCTTCAAGTAAAAAAAATGGTATTAGGCATCATTCCCTCAAAACAATGAATGTCTCTGTTGTTCCTCTCCCTTCACATAAACGAACACACATAATGGACTAGCTTCGATGCCTTTCTGTATCGTCTCCCTCCAGGAAAACCCCTTTCCTAAGCGATAAAAAGCATCTTAATCGAACAAGGCATTGCTCACTGAACACCAGAAGCTAGGAATTTCCCCCGCATCTTCTTCAATTATTTGGGCCCTAACTTGCCATCTCCCAGAACCACAGTGTTTCCCATTACTTTGCGCAGCACCCAATCTCCGATCTTGAATTGCCTTGGATGCACTGTTTTGTTGTACTTGCTGGATAACTCTTGTTGGTATGAGGCAATGTAAACCAGTGCTCTTTCTCTTCTTTCTTCGGTGAGGTCGAGTTCCATGTTATGGCCTCTCCATTCAAATCTGGATCAAAATTTTTGCTTCTAATTGTGGGGAGGCCAACTTCCAGTGGGATTACCGCTTCCATGCCATAGGCTAAAGAGAATGGTGTCTCTCCAATTGATCGCCGAGGTGTGGTACGGTAAGCCCACAAAACATGAGGCAGTTCCTCAGCCCACTTGCCTTTTGCTTTTTCTAACCTCTTCTTCAATCCATCCAAGACAACCTTGTTTGATGCCTCTGCTTGGCCATTTGCTTGGGGATACGCCGGTGTAGAATTGTAGAACTCTATCTTGTATTCTTCACAAAAGCCTCTAAAGATTCTGCTATCAAACTGAGTGCCGTTGTCTGATATTAGGGCTTCAGGTATACCGAACCGAGTGATGATATTCTGCCAGACGAACTTCTTCACATCTTTTTCCTTGATTGTTGCCAATGCCTCTACTTCCACCCATTTTGTGAAGTAGTCTGTTGCCGCAAGAAAGAACTTCCTGTTTCCGGGTGTTGTTGGAAATGGTCCTACTATGTCCAAGCCCCACATTGTGAAGGGCCATGGGCTGGTTAGTGGTAGGAGCTCTCTAGCTGGCTGATGTATTTGGTGTGCAAACTTCTGATATTTCTCACACTTCTTTACATACTTCTCCGAGTCTGCTTGCATGTAAGGCCACCAGTATCCTTGTGAAATGGCTCTGTAAGCTAACGATCTTCCTCCTTGGTGGCTTTCGCACACCCCCTCGTGTATTTCGAACAAGAATGCTTCCACTTTGCTAGGGTGAACACACTTTAAATAAGGTCCTGAGAATGATTTTTTGTACAATGCCATAGAAGGGGAGAGCCAAAATCGCTGCGACTTTGTTCTAATTTTGTTGGCTTCCTTCTTTTCTTTTGGTAAGATGCCATCTTTTAAGAATAGTATGATGGGATCCATCCATGAGGGGCCTAGTTCGGCGCAACATACCTCTTCTGCTTCGGGGTCTTCAATGCTTGGTTTTGGTAAGTAGTCAATTAACAACGGATGAGGGATGGATGTATCTGCCATTGAAGCAAAGCCTGCTAGTTCGTCTGCTCTGCTGTTTACCTCCCTGCCAATCTGTTCTATCCTTACTACTTCAAATTTCTTGATCTCTTTTCTGACTAAGTCTTGATACTTAGTCATCCTGTCATCCTTTGCCTCGTAGTCGCCTGAAATTTGGTTTACCACCAGCTGTGAGTCGCTGTAAACCATTAGCTCGGTGGCCTTCATGTAGGATGCTAATTTGAGACCTGCAAGAAGCGCTTCATACTCCGCTTCGTTGTTTGATGTTGGGAATCCAAGGTTGACTGCTTGCTCCACAACCAGGCTGTCTGGTAAGATGAAGACTATGCCAAGTCCGGCACTATGCCGGTTGGATGCTTTATCCACAAAGAGCTTCCACATCTCTCCGACGAACAATTTCTAGCAAGTGGAGGGATCAGATGATGCCGTGGGGTCAAGAATGTCGCTAGTGTTTTCTTCAAGGTCCATACTTGCTGTATGCCCCTCGCTATCTGATTGAACCAAGTCTTTATTTGTTGGTGAGACTTGGCTTGGTGTAGCATGGTTCGCTTCTACCTTGCTCTCTTTACTCTGGTCTGCCTTGGGGTCCAACTGAGTATCCTGCACCAGGGGTTGCGCTATTCCGGCATCAACTTCCATC